ACGGAGGACCCAACATCGGTATAGTAGTCGTTGTAGTAAATTAGGTCAAAGGATCTTATTGCTCTGATACCATGTTAGATTCGGGTTTGTTATGGGCTTCCAACTTAAAACCAATTGGTGATTAGTGGATTGGCTCCAACCCTTTATATAGTAGTAGATTAATTCTTATATTTCCGATGTGGGATGTTTCTCATCAATAAATATACATGATATGAGTTGTAAGAAACATAATAATTAGGAAATTCACATATATATATATATAACTTACTTGCAAACCTTCCACTTTGATACCTCTCGTGTAGTGGCATGAAGAGACGTTCGAACATCGAGTCTGTTGAAATATTTTTCAGCATAATCAGAGTAACAAGGATCGTAACCTTCAAACCATCTCACTCGCTTGAACCAGTCTTTCTTCGCTGGAGACTTATCAAAAACTCCTAAGAAGGAAGCTGCTGATGAGTTATTGGTTGTGCACTTGGGAGCATATATATTATAAATATCAATCTCTTTGTATTTTTGGAACATTGTGTTCATGGCGACGTTGCATGGTTCCGACCAATTCGATGACTTGAAGTCACAATTACGTTTTGCGGTGTCGTAGAGATTGTCGGAGATGACTGCATGGCTCCATGCGTATTCTAGAATTCCTTTGTTATCGTAGTCATCGTCTGTCAATGGATTGCCTACCTAAGTGTCACAATTAAAGTGGCTTAATTAATTCTATAATAGCATTGTTTAAAATCAACAAAAAGCGAAAATGTTAATTAAAATATAAAAACTTGCGGATTTGACAAAAATAAGAAAACTTGCGGATTAAACTTCATTTGAAAATAATTACATATATAATTTTCATTATCTAATAAAAAATTCATTAGAATGAAAGAATATCATATTAAATTTGGAAAACAAAATTCAGCAAAAATTATGATTAAGTTTGAGTTATTATATTCAGTTTATATTATACTGTGCGGATCACCGGTCGAGTCTAACATTAAATCGCGTTTGATTAAAAGTTTCTTTTCAACAAGAAACATCGGTCAGATTGGATCAACGTTACGCTTTCCTCGTGCACGTAGTTAATATATAGTTTTTTTTTAATAACTAGTTAATATATTGTTGCACTCTAGTAAAATATAATAAAATACGTACAATGAAGCCTTTGAGATTAATGAAAGACTCCTTTGGTTTAACTTTGTTTCGATCGTATATTTGCTCGGCTAGCTGAGGTGCGTAGTGACCTGTAAAAAGTATAACCCATACGACATCATATTTTATAATTTCCTAAATAATCAGATAAAACCATGTTTTCATGCTTCAGTTTTGAATGTACTTGTTTAATCTTATATCTTTGTCGCTTAAATTAGTTGATATTCTCTATCCAGTTAGTAAAACTCGGGAAGAAACATGAGAGTAATTAACTAAGCTCACCGGCATAGCTTTCACCAGCGATGAAGAAATCACGAGACTTATATTGGGGATACCTTGCAAACCAAGCAACCATGAAATTGTATGCATCTTCCGCTGTTGCAAAACATTTTCACATTTATTTTCCTAAGATAGTTTCATTTAGTTTAGTAGTTTAAAAAGCAATTTCAGAAATCTGACCATCTTATTCAGATGTTTTTTGTGCATGGTCTTATAGTTATACACTTACCAACGAAACTGTCGTTGAGGTTGTCCATATCCGAAGAAGTGTTGGTGTACGAAAACCCTACTCCAACCGGTGATTCTAAAAACAACATATTTGCTTCTGCAAGTTCATTGATTTTTTTCTCGTTAAATTCTATTAAAACATTTCATAATTTTGATTTATTTAAAACCGTCACTAATTTATTTCATGGTGTTAATATTTCGTAGTTAGACAAAGTTAAAGAAAAAAAACCTTGGACCCAAGAGTATTGATTGAAACTAAGGCTTGTCCCATTTTCAATCACACGAAAAGGTCCTAATTCAGATGCTGCTCCGTATCCAATAGATGAACATCCAGGACCTGCGGGACATACTCATAATTCATAAAAAACATAGAAAACTAGTAAAAATGAGAATATTGTATAAATGACGTAATTATACCTCCATTGAGCCAGAGAACTAGAGGTCTTGTTGGAGCTTCAGACAAGGCTTCAAAGAACCAGAAGAAGAGCGATCGTGTATTTTCTTGATTCACGTTGACATAACCTGAGAAGTGAGAGATCTTTGGATCCGATGGTTGTTCGGGAAGATTCACTACTTTGTCTGAACTTTGTGCTTCAATGTTACAATCTTGATGACATGATAGTAACAATAGTGAGATGGTAAGCAGAAAATTAAGTTTTGTTCTCGGAGGGGTCAAATCCATCTCAGGTTTTTGTAGTCTAGTTGTTTTTCCCTTTGTCTAACATGGTGTGTATATAACTAAGTGGTGAATGGTGATTTATTGGGAATGTTGGTTGATTGTGGAAAGTAGAGTATGTGGCCACAAATGTTAAGGATAAGTTTCACACTTCTTATTTTAATTTATGTCAAGATTGTAATGGATGGAAGCTGAATGTGCGCTTCTGAGTTGTGAACAATCCATTTGCAACTCATTGTTATGGTATCACACGTAGAATAATATAAATATCATCAAAATCTTGGGAGATTTTTTTTTTTTACTTTGTTTGATTACATATCAAACTTACAATTTCCAAGTTTATCCATATTTTAAACATTATATAAATAAGTAAATTAATTTAAAGACATTATATGAAATAAATCTTATCATATGTGTGATTTATGCTATTAGAAATATTTGTTTTTATATTTCGTTAAAGCTATTAGTGTCAGATCCACTTCTAACTAATTATTTTCAAAAAAAAAATTATAATGTGTTTCAAAAAAAAAATTAATTTATAATATTATCCAATTGAAAGTTACTATCCAGAGTGCCTGTATAACTCTAGTGTGTTAAGTATTATTAATGTTTAATCTTTGGTTTGATATCGGTTCTCTGGAAGGTCTTAGATGGTTTTGTCATGTGCTAAGTTTAGCTCCACTAATTATCATTGATTATCATTAGCTCACTAACTAAGAACCAAGTCAATAATGAGAGTCCACATTTTACCACTTCCAACGAGGCTTAGCCTCATAATTTAGTGGACTATTAATAGACAACTTGTGCACATCTTCAGTGGCGGAACTAGGATTTGGTTTTACATGTGTCATAACTATTTTGGATATGTTTACAAGGTATATTATTAACCCTTGAACGGTCAAAAAGAGAGAGATTGACCACTTCACCACAACATTATTTTTGCAATTAAGCTTAATAACTAAATTTTATAGATTTTATATGGGTCACTTGATAGTTCTTGTAGCTCTTCGTCTAATCATTTAAGCTCTAATGTACTCACAAAGCTGATATATGTATTATGCATTTTTTTTCTTCTCTCAAATTGATTCTTTGAGCTCTATGATCAAGATTGGCGTTGAGCAAATCCTAATGAAATATTACCGACATCACCTCCAAATTATAATGAGTTAATATTCACACAGTTCCTAAATTGTATAGCACAAAAACTCTATTAAAATCTAGTAAAAAAAATTATGGTCTTATAAATCGACTGTCTACAAAAAAGGAAAAATAAAAAAGAATCGACTGTCTACGATCCTTTAGATATCCATCATAACCATCTAATCCAATTGAATAGCATTTACCCCAAATCGGCCCACCATCTATCATAAAGGCTTTTTTCTCGACCCGGCCCAACCAAACCCAATTTTCTTACAAAAGAAGATACGAAACGACGTCGTATGGGTCACGAAGGTTCCATCTCCTTGGTAGAGAGAGTCCTTTCTTTCTGTTTCAACCTTGCGAAAACTAAACTAAAATCTCTCGTCTCTTCCTGGATTTTTGGTTCCTTCATAGATTGCTTCATCTCTGCTAGATTCCTCTTTTACACTGTAAATCATCCAAAATTCAAGATCGTATATACACATACACACCTGCAAAGAATCAATCTCATCTCTCTCTCCACTACTCCAGCTCAAAAGCCTAAACGCACCGATCAACACCCCCTAACCTCCATTTACGTTAAATCGTCTACTGTTCAGCTCCCAAAAAAACCAATGTTTTTCTCCGGCGATCCTTCCACTCGGAAACGAGTCGATTTAGGAGGCCGGAGCACCAAGGAGGGAGACGCTCGCAAGCTTCTTGAGCAGACCAGGATTGAGCGTAGTCGCCGTCTCCTTCAGAAGCAGCAGAACTCCGCTTCCCTCAAAATTCAGGTCCAAACATTCTTCAATTGATGAGAATCATATATGCCTTTGAATTTTAGGTGCTGACTATTTTTTTTTTTAAATGTAGAAATTCTTTAGAGGTAGAAGGGAAATGGCAGTTGAGCGGTGTAAGGTGAGGCGTGACTTCTGTGTAACCTATGGGGATAATTGCCAGAATGTCGATAGGTATTTTTTTGCTACGTTTTTTTTATTTTTTTTATTGTTTACTTATTTGTCTTTTGACCATTGCTAGTGTTTTTTTTTAAATCTGCATTCAGGCATTGCTTTGAGCCAGATTCTAGTTTCCTTCGTCAGTTTTTGTTTTTCTTCAAGGCGCAAAACTCTGGGGATTTTGTGATGCTTGTGGAGATGTGTCGTCTACTGCGAGATTTTGCACACAGTAGTGGTATTTTTTTGAGTATCTACGCATTTTTCTTTTGTTGATACATGTTGGTTGATTAGTGTTCTTTAACTCTTTAGGCAATTCTTATGTAAGAGGAAGCATGGCCTGAGTCTTCATTTTCTCTCTTAATTTGTTATTAATGGCTTTTGTTCTCTTGTGTAATATGTGTATCTGATGAGCTGTAAAATTAGATTGTTGTGTGAGGAGTGTCCCCTTCACTCCAAATTAAACTCTCCCGTTTGCTGTTTACATTCTTACATATATACACTATATTATGTTTTTTTTTTCTTGCCTCAAGCACAAGCTTTTCACTAGTTTCTTCCCGACAATGTCTGAGATCTTTCTTAATGGTATTAGGAATTCTCATCATATTACAGGTGACATTCTCAACCTTTTCTCTGGCTTGGACTATTCTATTGAGCGTACTTTAGTGGATTTTAGAGTAAAGAAACTTGCATTTACCTGCATCGAGGCTATACATTACAACAGGTAATAATTTTTGGTCATCTCTCTTTTATTGAGCATATCCAAGCAATAGCCCTTCTGGTATCTAACTATGATCAACTGTCGTTATCTCATGGCTTTTCAGTTCTGTTATTGAGTTTTTAGTTTTGTATCCTTGTGATTTGAATGAACAGGGAGCGTTTAAGGGACCAGCTCTTAGTTACTACTGAGGAAGCTAGCATTTCGACAGCTATCTTGATGGATGCAATGTCGTTGTTGCTAGATCCTAAGCTGCCTTGGGTTTGCAAAATAGTTAGTCATCTACAGAAAAGAAACATATTCAAACTGGTCAAAGAAATTGTGACTACGGCTAAGGTAATCCCCAATGGCTCTCCACGATTATCCACCACCAACTAGTTCTTATTTAGTTGCAATCATTGTATGTTGCAGGAAGCCGCAAGAGGTCCAACTATGAACGGCAGCATCCTTTCACTAGAAAGAGTATTGGTCCTGGTAGTACCACATGTTGGCCGTGAGCTATGTTGCTGCGCTGTTGTTGATCCACGTTGGAGTTTCTCATCTATGATCCTTACCATACCCTTTATATGGAAGCTCTTCCCAACCTTGAAAGTGGTTAGTTTCTGAACTCTTGTTTTTAGTCACGGATAGACACTAAACATAACATATTCAGTATCATCTAGGCTAAAATGATAGATTTTGTTACCAAGTTTATGTTTAACAGTGAGCTAAATATTATCTTACCTGTCAGCATCTATTCATTCAAACTTTGTTGAACTTATAGTTTCATGGTCCAGGTATTTGCCAACCCAAGTCTAAGTCAACACTACATTCACCAGATGGCTTTCTGTATCCAAAAGGATAACCATGTTCTCCCAGTAGATACAAACACAGAATTTCCTGGTTATGCTTGTCTTCTTGGTAATACATTGGAAATTGCAAACGTGGTCTTGTCACAGCCTGAATGTTCATTGNAACTTATAGTTTCATGGTCCAGGTATTTGCCAACCCAAGTCTAAGTCAACACTACATTCACCAGATGGCTTTCTGTATCCAAAAGGATAACCATGTTCTCCCAGTAGATACAAACACAGAATTTCCTGGTTATGCTTGTCTTCTTGGTAATACATTGGAAATTGCAAACGTGGTCTTGTCACAGCCTGAATGTTCATTGGACATGGTTGGTATAATGCAGTTTATTTCTTTTTTGAAGATATTGTGCTCCCACATCTGTTTGACTCTAGTGCTGCTTTGTTTTCGTTCTTTATTTTAACCAGGCAATTGACATTGCATCTGTTGCAACTTTCTTATTGGAGAAACTTCCTCCTGTTAAGTCATCAGAAAGAGAAAGCAGACAGAGTATGGCATTTGATTCTTTTGCATGGCATTCTTTTGTTATTCTTAAGTTCCTTTTCGATTCTGCTCGTGGTAGTTTTTCATGAATTTAATCTTATTCTGAAATGGAAATGTACTTTTTCGTGGTTCAGGTTCTTCTGAAGAGGATGATATGTTGATTGACGATATACAAGAACTAGTCTTGAGTAGGACTCTAGAGCAGCAGATAACCACCAATGCTATAGACTCACGTTTTCTTCTGCAGTTAGTATGTACCCATTCCCTGTCATATGAAGCCACATAGAGTGCTTCCTTTGGACCAAGTGATACTTTAGTTTTAACCTAATTTATTTTATTGCCAACTATGCAGACAAATGTTTTGTTCCATCAGGGTTCGGTTGGTACGCAGTCATATGACGAAGATAAAGAAGCACTAGCTATTGGCACAGCCAGTTCTTTTCTGTATGCGGCATTCAACACTCTCCCTCTTGAGCGAATAATGACAGTTTTGGCTTATAGAACCGAGCTTGTAGTTGTGTTGTGGAATTATATGAAACGATGCCATGAGAACCAGAAGTGGTCATCCATGCCTAGTGTCCTACCTTATCTTCCAGCGGATGCCCCGGGCTGGCTATTACCTCTGGCTGTCTTTTGTCCTGTTTATAAGTAAGGTTTTCTCAATTTAATATCAACTTTTCTGTATTATTACATGAAAGTCACTCTCTCGTATGACTGTTNTTGTGGAATTATATGAAACGATGCCATGAGAACCAGAAGTGGTCATCCATGCCTAGTGTCCTACCTTATCTTCCAGCGGATGCCCCGGGCTGGCTATTACCTCTGGCTGTCTTTTGTCCTGTTTATAAGTAAGGTTTTCTCAATTTAATATCAACTTTTCTGTATTATTACATGAAAGTCACTCTCTCGTATGACTGTTAAGTAAGTGAGGGTGGTCGAATACTTAAAGCTGATTTAACATTGTTGTTACTGATCAGGCATATGCTTATGATAGTAGACAGTGAGGAGTTTTACGAACGAGAGAAGCCACTGTCGCTACAAGATATCAGGTTGCTTATCATCATTCTCAAGCAAGTAAGTTTTTTTGACGGATCCATTAAGTAACCGTGTAACGTTGAATTTGAAGAGTTTTAGGAGTTATGGCACTTGCATAAAATTTGAACACGCGACACAAAATTTAAGACGCAATTAGGTATGTCCTTAGGTTGCAGTGGTTGTTCAAATTTTCTGCCAATCTTTAGGTAATAGTTTCTATTGGTCTCACCAAAAAAATAGCATCTAATATTCCATGCATTGATTTTCCAATTGTTTTTGTGTTTGCTCGTTTATCCCAGGCTTTATGGCAGTTACTATGGGTGAATCCACTTACACAACATAACTCCGCGAAATCTGTCTCCAACGACCTCTCTAAGAAGAACGATGTTGGCCTGATTCAGAACAGGGTTGGGGTTGTAGTCGCTGAGTTACTTTCACAGGTCAGTGTTCATTTTATTGCTATTTTGACTGTAAGTAAGTATAACTTGGCAAAGGTCATTGTTCATTTTATTCTGTTTGTTGATGAAATCTTTCCGCAGTTTCAAGATTGGAACAACCGTCAACAATTCACTTCCTCGAGCGACTTTCAAGCTGATACAGTCAATGAATATCTTATCACTCAGGTGACTACTTCACTTTAACTGTTTGGTCTTAATTAACTTGAATGATTTGGTCTTAATTTTCCCCTATCATTGCTGATACTGTTATCCTTTCTCCAGGCCGTAGTGGAAGGTACAAGAGCCAACTACATACTGATGCAAGCTCCATTCCTGATTCCGTTTACAAGCAGAGTCAAAATATTCACAGTGAGTGGTTGTTACGGTGTGTATATCTGGTGATGGATTTTCATTTGTTGGGGTTGAGAACCTAGGAGTGCTCATTAGCGTATACTTGCGTGAGTAATCTGGGTACTTGTTCGCTGATTACTTTGCTGCGGCTGCATTTATTTGCTGAACATCATTTGTAGATACAATTAGCAACGGCGAGGCAGAGTCATGGATCTGAAGAAACTTTTGCTCGAAATCTGTTCAGAATACGAAGAGATCACATCTTGGATGATGCTTACAATAAAATGAGTGCATTATCAGAGGATGGTCTCCGAGGACCAGTAAGTTCTCTCTCTTGCCGGATATTTGTCTTCAAGCAATTGCTTTTTCACAATGCAAAATGCATATTTTCTTTCCTATCTCGCTGTAGATTCGTGTGACATTTGTCAATGAACTCGGAGTTGAGGAAGCCGGTATTGATGGTGGTGGCATTTTCAAAGACTTTATGGAGAAAATTACCCTAGCAGCGTTTGATGTGCAGTATGGGTTGTTTAAGGTCGTTTGTCTGGCTCTGCTCACTCAACTTTTTTTGTGGATTTCATAGTTTAGCACATTTCTTCATGTTCGCATGTCGTCTGTCCATAAAATCTCTAACATGCGCTTTTTTCAGGAGACCGCTGATCACATGCTTTATCCTAATCCTGGATCAGGAATGATACATGGGCAGCATCTCCAGTTCTTTCATTTTCTCGGGAGCCTTCTCGCAAAAGTATGATATTTGATTATACGTTTTACCAATTTTTCTTATACTAGTATTCATCATTCAAATAGAATAGATTTCTTTAGTTTGGCCTTCTTTTCTATAGAATAAGGTTGATTTCCATCTGTTATATGAGACTCATGAAGTGTTTTTCCCTTTATTTTGTTGCAGGCTATGTTTGAAGGGATTCTAGTTGATATACCATTTGCAACGTTTTTCCTCAGTAAACTGAAACAAAAGTACTATAAATTTGATTTCTACCTTCAACTTTCTGTAAATTCATTTGTTTGTTAACCCCATGTAGACCTTGTGAATACGTCGTAAAGCTTCTATTTTTTCGTTGGCTAGGTACAACTATTTGAACGATTTGCCCTCTCTGGATCCTGAGTTGTATAGGCATCTTATATTTCTGAAGGTTGGTTTTGCTCAACATTCTATATTTGTGGAACCGAGAAATAGCTATTTGCATTTTCATGTTCCTGGTTGATTTCTGGATGTTCTTTTGAGCCCTGTCCACCATTTTATCTATAACAGTTATATTATGATACTTGCAGCGTTATAAGGGTGATATATCAGACTTGGAGCTTTACTTTGTTATTGTGAACAATGAATATGGAGAGAGAACAGAGGAAGAGCTACTTCCAGGGGGGAAAGACATGCGAGTCACAAATAAAAATGTTATCACTTTCATTCATCTGGTTTCCAATCATCGGTTAAATTTTCAGGTACCTGGAACCACTCTCCTCTCGTTTATCTTAGCAGACGTTAGTCACAATCCATTTTTCTGTTGCAGATACGTCAACAGAGTTCTCACTTCTTGAGGGGGTTTCAGCAACTCATTCCGAAAGAAAGGATAGATATGTTCAACGAACATGAGCTCCAGGTGCCCATGGATAACTATGCTTTAGATGGTTAAAAATAAAATATGTTATTGTGTTAGCATTGTTAGTTGTTTCCTCAAAGATCATGACAAAGATAGATTTAACCTTTTTTCGTGGGTTTTGGTTTGCAGGTTCTCATATCTGGTTCAGGCGATAGTTTAGATATTGACGACTTGCGAAAGAACACCAATTATGGTGGAGGCTACAACGTTGTGAGTTGTTCTCTCGTTGTCAGCCAAAATGCTGTTGTGTGTTTGGAAGATTGTTATAAATGATTTACATCGTTGTTGATGTTCTTGACAGGGACATTATGTGATTGATATGTTTTGGGAAGTAATTAAAAGCTTCTCATCCGAGAACCAGAAGAAGTTCTTAAAGTAAGTCAAGTGTGTGTTTATTCAACGAAACTGAGAGGTAAGTAACATTTAACATCTTCAATTCCAGATTTGTGACGGGATGTTCAAGAGGACCACTACTCGGTTTCAAATACTTAGAACCTGCATTCTGCATACAGAGGTAACCAACCTTACACAGACTCCCAAAAACCGTGCTTTTGGGAAGTAACACTATGTATAAAAAAGATATATCATGTGTGTTCTCAGGGCTGGTGGTAGCGTGAGTGATGAAGCAGTTGATAGACTACCGACATCAGCTACTTGTATGAACCTTCTTAAGCTTCCTCCCTATCAAAGGTCTGCGCTCTCGTAACACCTCATCTCCTTTGTTTTTTTTTTTGCTCATTTCAAGAAAACTTCATCATTTTGTCTTTAATAAACACATTTTCGCATGGTGCAGCAAAGAGCAGCTTGAAACCAAATTGATGTACGCTATAAGCGCTGAAGCGGGTTTTGATCTGAGCTGAATAGCATGTTTCTTGGATGAGGAAGAAAATCCATTGTGTGGATATTGTCTTCTTTTTGTAATACTCTAGGATGTTGGTAAATATATCTTTCACAGTGCATAATAATCCATCTTGAAGGTTAATGAAATATAAAAGAATCAAAAAACTCTATAACGTTGGAGAAAATGCTATCTAGTACTGTACTGTTACCTATTCTGCTAAACATCAAATTGCGTTTGGGAACATGAGAGGCTTTAGGAGCTGCCTGAGATTGCTGGTCCAGATTCAATAATACCGAAAAATAATAATGCGACGCACGTGCTTGGCACGTTTTAATTAATAAAGTTTTATGTAGATTAGATCTTGACCGTCCATTTAAATAAACTGCGACATATAGATATATAGATTTAGAGAGCACTGAGCATCGCAGGGAGAAAATGGAGGAAGGAAAGGGACCAGTGAAGCATGTTCTGCTTGCAAAGTTCAAAGATGACGTAACAGAAGAGAAGATCGATGAACTTATCAAAGGTTACGCCAACCTTGTCAATCTCATCGAACCTATGAAAGCTTTCCAATGGTAAACTTCTGTCTGGTTTTGATCTTTTGTTACTGTCATGATCGAACGATTTATCACCAAAACCGTAGATCTGAATTGCATCTTTCGGGCTTAATCTTATCATCTACCAATAATATGAATTTTGGATTAAGGTTAAAACCAAACTGAATGAATCTTGTTAGAACATGCGCCTTATCTTGTCTTTTACTAGTTCTCTCCTAAAAATTAAATTCTTTTTTTTTTTGGTTTAAATCCTAAAAATTAAATTCATGTAGGGGAAAAGATGTGAGCATAGAGAATCTGCATCAAGGTTTCACACACATCTTTGAATCGAGTTTTGAGAGCAAAGAAGCTGTAGCTGAGTACGTTCATCATCCTATTCACGTTGAGTTCGCCAACATGTTCCTTGGCAGCTTGGATAAAGTCTTGGTCATAGACTACAAGCCTACCTCTGTGTAAATCATCATCTTGCAGCAGCAAAGTTTCATTGTCTTTTGATCCTTTTTTTTTAATTGGCTCTGTGTATGCCTCTTGTGTGTCATGTTTGAAATAAAGTATTATTCCTTTTGAGTAATGATGTTGTTTCTGTTCATTTCTTTCTTGAATCAGCGATGTGTGTAAAACGATCATGAGTTTATTTACTTGATAATGGAAGTGTTTCATTTGGAGTGTATTTGATTGTGCTTCTGCTAGGATTTGAATACTTTGTATGGTCTATTAATCTCTTTTATTTTCTTCTAAATAATGTTAATAATCTTAGATGTAAATTTTATTTTTATTTTTTTAAGAAACAGGGTTCTTGATTTGTGTATAGTACTAGGTGATTTTCCCGTGTTCATGCACGTGTATGAACATTCATAAAAGTAAAATTTTATAATAATTAATTGATATTTAGTTTTAGTTTTGAATCAATTTATATTTATAATTTATATTTATAATTTATATTAATATATTATATTCTTATAATTATACATATGACTTTGGATATATTATTTTCGATTTAATTATTTTTTGGATTAATACTCGGTTTATATATCAATTTGGTATATTGAATAATATCTATTTTTCGAGTTCAACTATAATATTTTTATTCTAAATATAATAAAACTTTGATTAATTTTCTTATTTCATTTCGGTTCGTTATTGTCTTAGATATGTAAATATATTCTTAGATATGTAAATATACTATGGTTAAATTATGTATAACTTAATATATATTGTGCTTAAAAAGAAATAAATAATAAGTTGAAGTGCTTGATTCAAAATTACATAAATTAATATAATGATAATATTTTTAAGTCTCATGCATATATAAAAATTCTACAAAAGAATTAAATTGTAATTGTTTAATATTTTCTTTTTCTTTTTAATATGCTTTGAGTCAACCTCTAATTTATATGTATAAAATTAAATATATTATTATTATAAATTATATGTTCTTATTGTAGTTAGATATTTAATTTGGATATAAATTAGATTAGCCGATTCATTCATTTTGTGAGTATATTGAGTTAAATATATTTTTAAATTAAAATTGAAGTATAATTACTTTTTATTTTAGTAAAGTCAAATCAAATTAGTTTTATGTATTGCTTAAATATACATGTATTTTCATAATATTTATTTACTCTTTATTTTAGTTAAGTCAAATCAAATTATATTTTCATAATATTTATCAAATTATATGTTTATTTCTAAACAATATTAGAAAATAAACTGTAACTGATAAATTTTTGGATGTTCACGAACATATATATTTTTATTATTTTGAAAATATTTTTATGTTATTTAAAATATATATTAGTGGGGTATTACTATTTTGTGAACTTTTCTTTTTAATAAAGTCATGTTATATAAATAAAATTTTGTTTTAAAATTTATTTTAAAATTTTAGAAATATTTCCTTTTTATTATATATGTTATTTGGAAAAATGTAAAAAAGAAATTACAAAAAAAAATTAATAATAATCTTAAAATCTAACAATTCATTAAGGGTATCTATGTAATCAACCATCGCGAGAGTTAACGTGAGTGCGACACGTAGGAAACTGACTTCTCAAATAATATTATAGAGATATGTATGTATGATACAGAATATAAACAAGCACTCTCAATTACGAACAAAAAATAAACTTTTTAAAGCAAAAAAAAAAGTTTTAAGTATGTATGACTGAACCAAGAGCTCTTTCTAATCACATCATGTTGGGGATGACGGATCCGCAAACTCATCTTGACACGTTGTAGGACCTTTCATAGCTGCTGAGACCTTGATGTTCAGCCTTGGACCATCTCCTGACACTAGGCTCTTATTAGCTTCATTGACTGCTGATTTCATTATTGTATACTGCTCCACGCACGAGGTGTATCCTTTCTTCAAAGCGGGGTTAGTTTCTTTCTTGGCAAGATTTTGATACTTCGTCAAAGCTACTGATGCGCGTGTTTGTGCAGAGGCTAATGGGAACGTTGCTAGCGTTTGATATCAGCACCTGAAGTCTTTGGGTTTGCTTTCATGTAGTTTGTGCAGCAGGATGGTTTTTTTTTTGCTTTACCGCAAATTGCTTTTCTAGTCAGCAGCTTTTGCGTTTAAGGAAACAATCATTAGGAAAAACATCAGACAAGACACAAGAACGTTGTTCATCATGTATGTTGCCATCTTTGGTTATTTTTGGAAAAGTTATTGTCCCTGAGGTTAAGTATTTATAAATGCTTGCGGTTGGTTGCTTCCGCAGAACTATTAATACAAGTTCTTGGACAGGATTGTTGATGTTTCTGATTCTTAGTTATACCACAAGTTCTGATTAATGATAGAGAAAAAAAGTTTGCTAATATTTTAGAAATAATGATTGTTGATTTTTCTAATATAAATTATTGGTTTTTAGGTTATAACACCAGAGTCGATGACATTTAATATGTTTTGCCATATAACGTATAGAACCAAAACGTCAAAAAGGTCGGAGAAAACCTTATCAATGTTACACATTCTTTTAAACATCAGATTGCGTGGACACACGTCTGTCTTTTAAGTATAAATTCACACATTGTTATACTGTCGAAGGCTTTAAAAGCAGCTTTACTTGCTAACAGGTAGCGCCCTCGAGAGCTTTAATAGATAAGTCATAACTTGTCACGAAAAGTCCGATATGAAATCTTGAGAGTTTGGATCAATCGTGTGGTCTTGGCTAAGACTTTTGTGATCTCTAGGTTCTTGTCTCTTTTGGATGACCATACCGACAAGGTCGTGTAAGTCAAGGGTTAATGTTTTCGGGTCAGAGTTCAGCCAAGCAACGCAGAAGTGTTTGTAAATTGACGTACGGTGCTGAGCAGAGCTGATAAACTAGTGCCTTCGTGACTTTGCCAGTCGAAGAAAAATATATGGAGTGACTGATGGAAGAATGAGAATTGAGGAAATGTCGAAAACATGTTTTTGTGAAGCAAGAGAAATCCATTTTCTTGGTGTAGAAGATTAATTGGTTCTGCTTAGTGCGTAGTAATATAAATATATAAGAGCATTTTCATCCATGGTATGAGGAACTGTTGGATGGGTACCTAAGATTTGGAGAGCCCCATCAATCATTTATATAGAAACAAAACTATTACCCCCATTGTCTATTTTGTAAATGGTTCAATCCTATTTTAAATTTAAACTTAATTATATAATAAATATTTAAAAATAAAAACAAATTATTAAAATATTGAGACAATTGGTGTAATATACCTAACGAAGATCCAAATTGGCCGAATGTCCATGGTTGTGGATAATCCAAAAAGTAGTAACCTTTTGACACTGTGCAGACGAAAATTCCCTCTTACTTTATCGAAAACATGTAACTCTAGATTTAGCGGATATACATTATATTAACTGAACACTAAGAGATATTTATCAATTTTAACATGATATAAAAATTGTTAGCAAATTGATAAAATTTTAACATGCTACAAATTTTGTTATCGGGTTACGTCTATTTATTAACGTGTTAAATAAATCGCTAACAAACAAGTTAGCATGTTAACAATACTATTATCATAAAAATACATATATTAACCGCTAATCAATTATCTATCAAATAGCCGTAATCCTATCTGTACCACCTAACACTCTATGTATCGGTTACAAATTCATTAAAATATAATAATAACGGGTAAATAATGAAATAGCTGCTAACTTACATATTATCCAAATAAAAGAATGTATATTTCAAGATTTGAAATTAAAAATAATAGAATTAGTGTGAGATAAAAACATTAGCAATATGGGTGTCAAAAGAATCAGAGTAAAAAATAGAAATTTATGATGAAGAAATGAAAGCATAAACATGACATGTGTGAGAGATAAAGAGATTAGAAGATAGGGAAAAGAAGAGAGAGAGAAGAAGATGTGTGATCTGGTAAGGGTAAAATCGTCAAGAAAAAAAGGTTGACTAAGTTAGGGTTATGTGACATAATATAGGTGTGTTTAGGTACATTTGTGCCAATTTCTGTAAAATATTTATATTGTTAATATGTTTTATTTATATTTCTTAGCAATAAAAATGCTCTAAACCATAGTTTTTTTTTTGTCAGCCGCCCATATACTCTAGATCAAGTGGTAACCAGTCCAGTCGATTCTCCGAGAAGAAATTCAGTCTGGCCGGGTGTGATATATATGGGAAAATGAATAGCCTCTACTCGTTGTTTCTTTAACTAGTGCATCCGCTCGTCCATTTCTACTCCACGAAATATGAGACAGACTCTCATCCTCGAAATCCTCCCGTAGTCACTGAAACACCTCGATCTCTGTCGCGAAAGCCGGCCAGTCCTCCGGTATAGTAGACATGTCCACTAGATCCGAGCAGTCCGTCTCATTCCGTACCGAAATCATCCTCAAGTCTCGCATACATGAGACTGTCCATAGTAGGCCTTCCATCTCAGCATGCAGAGCTGATAGGCTCCTTTTACACACCCGTAATCCGAACCATTCAGAACCCATTTGATCCTTGAGACTCCACCTTAAGCCACTGACACTACCATTATCGATCCATGATGCATCAATTTGGCATGTAGAGGTTTGAGGGATCCTAGGGGGCTCTGAACTAAGAGGCAACTCATGATCCTCATTTACTTCCTCCTTCTCGCTTGCCTTCCTCCAACATTTTGCCTCAAGAGACGCATGTTGAAGAATGTCCATTGGAGATACGTCTTTCCCAATAAAAGTTTATCATTTCTTGTCTTCCAAATATATCAACAGATCCATGGGAAGGTGTCGAATTGTGATCTCTGAGGAGCCACTTCTTTTCGTTTCTAAAACAGAAAGTTCATGTTTTGTTAAATAGATATACTCCTGTTAATATATATAATCAAGACCACTAAGGAACATCCACGCTGCGGAAATCACTTAATCTCTTCTCCCCTCTCAATATCTGATTCTGTCCTCACAATCCCGCAGCTTGATGAGGGCTCTGATTGAAACAGAGCCTCAACAAAAGAAGACAAAGCCTTTATTCGATCTCTGCTTAATATACGACGAAAATTTCTCCTCGGCACCTCAATAGTCTCTGGATTTTTCCCTAAATCATCGAACAGCATCGCAGAAGATCCAGATCCCGAGGTCGATCCTGGTTCAGTTGCAAAAACCACTACAGAAGGGGTCATGATCACGACTTGCTCATCCAAAGGCTCGACGAGAGAGCGGCAGAG